CCCCGGGCTTGGCTTGGCCTTGCCGAGGGCGGTCATCAGAGGGTCCCGAAGCCTTGGGGCGATTTGGAGGAGCCCCCGGCCCTCGGTTATGCTTGTTGTCAGCCCTCGGGGGCTGCTGGTCCGGATGCTGGTGATACTTCTCCACCTCCTCGGCCTTAGCATATCGGTCCCCCCCGCTGCAAAGCCCTTATGTAGTCGCGGGGGGGTTCAATGATGAGGCTCCTTGAAAAGTTACCGGTGCAGAGGACGTTTTGTAGGAGGGCCAGGAGGGTCCCGTCATCAGCACCGTCGACCTTGTCGGCCTCCGTCCTCCAGCGCTCCAGGAAATCCCGAAGGGTCTCATCCTTCTTCTGGCGTATTGTTAGGAGGTGGGAGAAGTGCTTCCTTGTGCGACGCCTCCCGGCGAATTGTGTCAAGAATCGTTGGGCGAGTTCTTGCCACGAATCAATGCAGCCCTCGGGCAGCCTGTTGAACCATTCGTATGCCGGTCCCTCTAAGGTAGAGAGGAACCATCGACACAAATATTCGTCTGACGCCCCCACCATCATCATGATGTTCTGGTATTTGCTGTAGTGTTCCTGGGGGTCCGTTTTCCCGTTGTAGGGCTGTATGTGTTGCCCTCGGTATTTTTCCGGGATCCGGGCCGCCAATACCCTTAGGGTAAATGGCGTCCGAGTCCGGAGCTGGATGACGAGTTTCCCGGAGCCCTCGGCCACCCTCTTCTGTAACTCCTCCATTTTGGCCATCATGGCCTCGTATTTGAGATCTGAATGAGGGGTGGAGGTGGTGGCGTGAGCTTTGTTGGACTCCATCTCGTCAAGCCGGCGTTGGAGGGCCGCAATAATCTCGTCCCGGGGATCCTTCGGGAGGGTCTCCGCCCCCTGCGAACGAACCCGGGCCGAGTGGGCCTGGTTGATTTGGTGCCGAGCATCATCGGCATGAAGGGGTGCCTTGCCTTTGTCCCGAGGGGGACGCTCCTCGTCTGCCCTCGAAACAGATCCCCCGCTTTCCTGGGGCCTTTGGAGTGCTTTCCCCCCGAGGCGGTCTTGGACCCCTCGGCGGTCTGGCCCTCCTCCGAGCCGGTTGAGGGCGGAAGTACGAGGCCTTTCCCTGTTGTCATTATGGCGGTCCCGGGACTGAACTTCCTGGGAGGACGTATCTTGGGCCACCACCCCTTCGTCGTTTCTCACCCGAGGGGTGGGATTTCCGAAGGGGTGTGGCAGAGGGGGAAGTATGATATTTTCCCCGATCTGAGGGTGAGCTGGAGCCAGGGTGCCGAAGGCACCCGGGTTCTGGGTGAGCGTCTGGATGAAGGCGGAGAGCGCCGATTGCACGTCGATGGTGAGAACCGGAGGGCTGACTTGGTCATCGCTCCGGTTTTTCTTCTTGGCCTCGATGCCGAGGCGGGCATCGGGGGTATTTTGTTGGATCTGAAGGCGTAGGTCGACAGCCGCCTGTTCCATCCCAACGATGACACCGCCCTCGGGAGCCCTGTGAGAGGCTTCGGGGGCGTTGACGTCGCCGAGGGCCAGGTTCTTGTCTTCTACGTTCTTTGAGTTGGCACGTGTTGTCCTCACCATTTTGATAGAGGGCTAGTGTTTTGTGTTTGGTCGAGGGGGAGGGTTTCTTACTCGATTGTTCAACCTCTCAACGAGAGCACCAAATGATGGATAGTCTACCCGGGGGTATATATCTGAAGGGTTATTACTGGGAATAACTTAGAGAGAAGTCAGAGCAAGTAAGTAAAAGTAGAGAGAGAGTATATTCAGTATGAATGCCGTTTCAGCGTGGTTACAAATGGGGAAATGGGGTGCTATTTATAGTAGCAATAAATGCCGGGCAGGGACACGTGTCAAGCGCTCATTGGCCGAGGGGTCACCTCAACTGGTTGGCGCTGGCAGCCGCATGTGGCTGCATTTAATGCGGCTGTTGGATGGGACGTCTGTGCAGGGTACGGTGATCTGTACGCATGTGGGGCGGATATCATGTCGGCAGAGGTGCCTTCGGCTATAGAGCAGTAGCCGAGGGCTCCTCCAACCGATGGCCCCCTGGTGCCGAGGGCTCACAGTGGCGAGGGCTACTGTTTTCGCCGTTTTCTCCCAGTTTCTTAATTTGCTTGAGAAGCCCGTCCTGTGAGAGTTTAGAGCCTTCGGCCAGGGGACCGAAGGCACCCCTGGCGCGTAGTGCGGGCTGCTTGGTACTCTGGGCGCTGTGATCTGGGCCTGTTGGACCTTCTGGGCCTTCGCTGGAGTAGTAGGAGTCTGTGGGCCGGGGGTTCCCGGGCCATATACTCCATCAGTTAGTATTGCTATAATTGAGTGACGTAATTGTCGAAGGATACAAATGACAAAACTCTTGTTAGAAACTCCCCATGTGTTACCTGATTGCAACACGATTCGTAATAGACTAAGGATGTTTTTACTTGGACTGTAATTTGCTGGTCTGGTCTGATTTTTTTGTATTTTTATAACTATCCAAGTCTGGTCTGATCTGAACTGATTTGGTCTAGGAGGAATTATAATCCAAGTAAAAAGATCCTAATAGGACAACACAAGCTAAACACAGCACTCAATGCTGTAAGAACGATGGGGTTTCAAGGAGTGTGTTCATTTGATCATTTCTATTTTTTAGAAGTTACGGAGTATTTATTTTAGATATATAGAAGAGGTAAAAAAAACACACACTTGAAGCACATATCCTCTACTTGCAAGTTCTGATTTTAGAGTGCTTAATTTTAACCCGCACGGGTAACTCAGTTGGTTGAGTGGTGGGAAAAATTGGACGTAGACCAAGGTTCGAATCCCGCAGCGGCCAAAAGGAGGTTTTCAGAACCTGAAATAAAGCTGGCTCTCTGGTGCGCACGGGTAAAGGCCTACTACCGCATTGCCGACTGAGTCACCGTGATTTACTCCCCCACCATCCTGTCGGGTCGAGGTGGGGGGCCCTTGGGGTTGGGGATTCAACCTTTTGGACGTAGAGTGCTTAATTTAAACATCACTTATTTCAAAAACACTATTTTTAACTTTTCTACAGTTAAAAGCTCAAAACATTTTATATTTAGGGAGAATTTGAGTTTACACCTCATGTTTTGGATGATATTTGACTTTGCACCATATTTTCAAAATCATTAATGTATCCACCCCAATTCACTATAAAATCATTTGACTTTGCACTCACTCCTTCACAATTTTTGGACTAACGGGGTGCATACATTAATGATTTTAAAAATGGGGTGGAAAGTTCAATATCACCGAAAATATGGGGTGCAAACTCAAATTCTCCCTTACATTTATCTTTTTATACGGAGTATTATGTTTGTAAAATCACGGTGTTATTAGTATAGACTACTCTAAATTCAAAATCCTAATTTTACTGTTTTACTTCCATGATACTCATTATCCATGATGAACCATTTATACATACTTAAGTTTAAGTTAATAAAAATCCCAAAAATTAAATATTGCAAGAATATGAACAAATTTTTGGTTAGAAGTACGTCAATATTACGGAGTATAAAATAATAACATTTGTAAAAAAAATGGTTAAACATAATAAAATTTGGTATGCAAAATTCATCTGGTACTTTCACAGTCCAAATTTACTTTAGAAGCAAAGACACAATTTGGTCAACAGTCAAACACAATAGGAATAATTTCCCCACCTGCTTCAACACCTGCCTTTTCTTTCTCCTTTATGTCCACATTGGAATATACATTGATACCAAGAGTCAAACACATGTTGTGTTCATTTAAAGATGGCAGTTATTTAACTGACTTGAGAAAAAGGTAATAATATAAATGATGATGGCCTTTTACTCAAATCATAATATGTTAATTTTGTACTTCTGAGTTTTAATGATAAAAAAAAGCTCACCATGGCTTTCTAGCAACTTCTTTTATCTCATGATTGCTCATTAGTTCATTACATCCACAAAATGATTAATTCAAATCAAATTCCAACAACACTTCAATTCAGTATTGAAATTTGAAACAATAGCTCCTTCCAATCTTCCATGTGTATAATAGAATATATCCTCCCCAGTAAGTACAAACTTTTTTGCATGAAGGGCCAAGATCACTTCACTGTGGGACCCATTGAAATTTGAATTGATCTCAACCCTCCTTGTAGTGATAACACATTGTAATGATATATACAAAGTATAGAGGATCCATTTTCATATCCCCACCCCAAGAAGAATCAATGTTACAAACTCAGGTTGGGAAATGAGTCAAAACATGAATTGTCTTGTAGCCAAAACAAAAACAAAACTTAAAAGTGTAATAATAAAGTTTCTTTCTACTTCCAATCAATCCCACTAAAATTCATGGGCTGGGTCGAACTGGCATGTTTAAATCTGATTTGGTATGTAGTGTAAAGTGTAGTTTGGCATTATGTGTATTTTATAACTGTCTAATTTGATCTATTTAAACCCAATCTATATAAACCCAGTCTAGACTAGTCTGATCAAGCAAGGAAATAAATTCAAGTAAACATGTCCATCTTGACATGTCCTAATTAGGATAAACAAAGCAGATTACCTTTTTTGTCAATAAACAGAATCTCATTGGCCTTTTTTGCAGGGAACAGTAAAGTTAGTTACTTCTTGACAATTAATTGGCAGTATATATAAAGGGGAATTTTGAGTTTCCACTCCACTTTTCGGGTGATATTAGACTTTGCGCCCCATTTTAAAAACTTTTAGAATTTGCACCCTATCTACAACATTTTGTGAAGAAAAATTCCTGAATGGGGTGCAAAGGCAAAGACATTTTAGAGGAAATATGGTGCAAAGTCTAAGAGTTTTAAAAATGGGGCGCAAAGTCCAATATCACCCAAAAAGCGGGGTGCAAAGTCGAAATATCCCATATATAAATTACATGTCATTAAAGTTCTGATTGATAATGAATAAACCAGATACACAAATAACTCATTGCTGCCAGAACGATAAACATTGGAACTATAAGAGAACAAGTTCACAAGGAAGAGCAACAATGCATTTGGAAGGATGAAAACTATGCACAAGTCATTGATACTTATCATTAAGATACCAAATAATACTTCATATTCACCAAGCTTTCGGATTACATTAGTTTATTTCAGTCATCACAGAAAGAAAGGTAAGGAAAGAATTATGAAGAACTAAAATAAACGAATACTAGCATTTTTTTAATAAAAAGCAAGAATATGCTTTGTTGTAACAGACTAACAGCAGGAAGAAACTCAACACTTTAATCAAAGATCAGAGAGAAAAAGTTTTGCAGTATCTCACTATTTTAGTTGCTTGTTACAAATTTAGCTTTGCTTGTCAGCAAATCAACCACCCACACCTGCACAATCAAGGCAAAAGAATAAAAAAATGAAGCCCAATTAAATTAAAAGCCGCAGAAATAACCAGTTTGCATTGCCAGAGAAACATGCATAAATGGCTTAAGAATTTGATCAAGAACAACTTTTACCTGTTCATATGTTCTATTGATCATCCGGAACTTTGTATAAGTCAACTGTAATTTCTGACAACCACAATCCCGGAAAGAGAGTCTGGAAAGCAAACAACCCAAACTGTTAATTGACAATTTATTTCAAGATAAGATTTGGATACATTGAGAGGAAATTGAACTTACATCTAAATTTTTCTGGACCAGTTTAGATCTTTTCTTGGGGCGGCGGGCGGGTCTGTGACCAACTATAGCCATGAAATCTTCTTCGATCTCTCGCCGGGCGAGAGGAACAGATAGCTTCGCTTTCTCACGCTGGTGGCCGACGACTACGGGTTGGACGTTTTGCAGTGTCGGAGATTTGATTTCGGCTCTCAATGGGGAGATATTCAAGCTCTGGGTGGATCCAACGGTTGTTCGGCGAGTCCTCAAGCTCCACTGCTTATTCGGGTCAGCAGGGGCGGATTCAGGCGGAACCAACGCCGGAGACAGTTGCTCTTCCGCTTCCTCCACAGCCGGCCGGTGCAGCTCTTCCTTCAACCCCTCCCGCAAAATCGCGTCTTTCATCTTATCCGCCGCCGTCTGGAGATCGAACATTAACTTCTCCCTCACAGAGGCGATCCCGTCGTCGGTTTCGGACTCGAATCTCCGGCTACTCCCGACCGCCTCCTTCTTGAGCCGTTCGTGTGACCTGCCGGACGACGGAGCGACCCGCTTTCTCCCGGTGGGGGGATCCGACAGCCCATTAGGCCTCCGGTGAACGTCGGACATTTCGCCGTTGGAATCCAGCTTAACGCATCTCAAGAACTTCCGGTTTCCCCACTTCAATTCACATGGAAGCGTGAAATTGTGGAGCGGCTTTGATCTTTCCGGGCCCATCGCCATCGACGCAAAGTACCCTTCAGCTCTGTCTGCCTCTCTGGCTCGTTCGCTGAAGAACAAAGGAAATTAAGGGTTTCCTGATTGATTTCCCCTTTTGGTTTTCTGGGTTTGTTATAGTTGTAAAAAATCGCCGGGAACGAAGTTTATATGAGAGACACAGAGGGCGGTTTTAACGTTCGGCTTTCGGGCAACAATTGGTGCTAAAGTGCGCCGTCTCTAGCTATGGACATCTTTTATTGCTGGTTTTTAGAATATTTTATTTATTGTTTTCTTTAATATAGAATATTTTATTTATTGTTATGCATCCTTTTTACTGTTTTTATTATATAATTCCAGCCTCATACAAACTTCTTTGTTTTGTGGGATACGGAACATACGTCTACACCTCCATCTCAAATGATTTGCACTAGATTGTTTTTGTTCAATACAATTTTTAATTTTTGTATTTATTTATTCTATCATTTCGAGTATTAATTTTTTATTGCTTCAATTTTTTTTTGTGATGCATTGGAATAAAATAAAATGTTCAAAAACTAATATTGTATGAATATTATGAAGGGAGGTTTAACTTTATCATCACTTGACTTTAAAGACCAAGTTGTAAATCAATTTAGAATTGTTAAAGTATTTGTCCCACACCAGAAGACTATAAAATAATAAAATACTATATAAGATTTTGGGCTACTTATCTATCACGTTGACCTTTTAGGATAGAACACTGGGTCTTAACACAGTATCAGATTCAAGTCAGGTCGTGTTTTGACTGCTTGTTTAGCATTCATGATTAAAGGCAGCTTGTTAAAGGTCAGATTGACGCCTTTATACACCCCGATATTGTTCAGCCCAGTTTGGACTAAAGAGGGGGCGTGTTAAAGTATTTGTCGCACACCGAAAAGCTATAAAACAATAAAACACTATTGATGGGATATTAAGGTCCGGCCCAATATACCGGCCCAGGATATCCCTAAAGTCCAAACGCAAAGGAAGGTCCAGGGAAAATCATCAGGCCCGAACGGCACATCCCGAACAGCACATCCCGAACACTTTTTTGCCCAAAGCTTCAAGAAGAATACTTTGAACAGAGTAATGATGTTGGTTTCCAAGAGAGGTATGATTCATTCTCCAACACATATAACTCATACTCAAGTTCTTATTCCATCATGTCCACTGAAGACATGATCCGAGCTCTCACTATCAATGTGACAAAAATGCAACAAGATATGTCACAATACCCGCAAGAAACGGTGCTCAAAGAACCGAATTTGGAGAATCAATTGAAACAAGTGCCAAACATTGTGAAGCACATTGGCGAGGAGGAAGAAGAAAGGGAGCTTACGGAGGAATTGAAGCTCAACCAGAGGAGGAGAAACCTCAAAACTCAACTCCACCACCGGCCAATTCTGAGATCATGCCACCATTCCCTGAGCCTCTAAGGGAAACACAAAGGGTGGAGAAGGACAAAGACCTCTACGAAATCTTCTGCAATTGTGAGTATCATTTAGATTTCTCTTCGCTCACAAATATGCAAGGGATAACAGTGGAGTTGCACAAACCCTTCCATTTACCATGCTAAGTGAAAATCATGGACCCTCACTCTCACCGTATGAAGCGATAGAAATCTGGATATTTGATCCCGGAAAGATTGTCAAAATAAAGGGTCGACAAATTGAACCTTTCTATAAGATGCGCCCGGGTGAAAATGTGAAAAAGATGGATCATCACGATCCAAATTTTAAAGATTAAACACAATGATATTGTCGTGCCGCGACGTTAAATGAGGCGCTTCTTGGGAGGCAACCCATGTAAGGTACACTTACTTTTATCTTCCTTTATCTTAATAAAAGTCTTCACTTTTCAAAAAGATGAAAAAAAAAATTTAAGCCCAGGGTGAAGTACCCGATCGGGTCTCCCACGCCACCCGGTCGGGTATAAGCTAAAATGAGAATCCGGGCTCCTTGCTCGATCAGATCAAAGCGGTTTTTCAAAAAAAATCAACATACCCAATCGGGTATGACCCTTGCCCGGTCGGGTATACTTTTCTAATTAACTACGACGTCAAACGCCCGATCGAGTACACACAAAAAAAAAGATATCATAACCGATCGGGTGTATAGCCCTATCCAATCGGGTATGCTTAAAAAAAGAACCAAAAAAAAAAACAAAAAAAAACTGAAATCCTTCGGCCCGAATCACCCGATTGAGTACAACCGAACTCGATCGGGCATGCCTCCGAGTTAAGAGCACAAGAACACACACCCGATCGGGTGTATAGCCCTACCCGGTCGGGTAATGGAGATTTTAAACCAAAATCAACACCCGAATCTCCATCTACATCTCATCCAAATTCAAACCTCTCGCAGAATCCCCATGAACAAACACACCAAACTCTAGATCCCAAAAAAAACCCTCAAATTCCCCATTCCCTTGAGCCAAATTTATTTGAAAAAAACCCCAATTTTTGTTTTCATCTCTCCACTAACCTCAAATCTCACCCCAAACAAACAAAAAACATCCAAACAAAGACGACATGAGAGCACTAAGGACAGTGCTCGGACTAAGTAGGGAGAGTCACTCATTTGGTATGTACTCATTCTTTCCAGCTTGAACCTGCATTATCCTAAACAAAACAGACAAAGAAAAAATGCTAGTTAGGTTGAAAACTCAAAATTGGGCAATCTAAGCAAAAGTGGCTAAAATGAGTGAATTGAACAAAAAAAGAGGCTAGGATGAAAACCTGAAAAGGCTCCTAGGCAGAATGAGAGAATGAGAGGAAATTTCATCCGGGTTTATACAAGAACTCATTTCACTTGGAAGTTTTTGGGATGCAATCAATAAAAAGAATAATTGTTCTTGAAGATCATGAAGACCCTCTTTCGTTGTAAATTGAGGATGATTGAAAAACTGAACATGTTATTCTTTTGAATTTATTTGTTCTGTGGATTGTGAACTGTTATGTTGGCTTTTACTCGAGGACGAGCAAATGGACTAAGTAGGGGGGAGTTTGATAGTATAGAATTGTTATTGTTTATTTTTGTAATTTTAAATAGTTTTTATTAGTTCTAGTTGTAGAAATTACACACTTTTGGTGTAATAGTTTAGTTTGTAAAATGTTTGTAATTTGTTTAGATTAGGACTTTTATGAGCTAAACAGGTCAAAAATCATCCAAAGGATCAAGATTGGAACTCAAAAGATCAAGGAAAGTGCAAGGAGGCAAGAAAGATTTCGATTTGGATAAAATACTCTTATACCCAGTCGGGTATAAGCAATACCTGATCGGGTATTTGCTTGATTCGATTGTCCAAATCAAATCCGGGAACAAATGATCGTGGGAGCAAGATTTTGTAAAGATTTGACACATACCCGATCGGGTACGCCGACATACCCGATCAGGTATTGAGTTGATTCGGGTGTCAAATCAGAATCTGGAAAGACAAGAAAACGTGCAGGATTTTGACTTTTTGGCTCATACCCGACCGGGTATTCCAACATACCCGATAGGGTATGTCCCGAAAAGTCATTTTCTGGGAAATTTCCTAAGATACCTGATCGGGTATCCTATACACCCGGTCGGGTATCAGACCATGCAGCCCCCAAAAGCCTATAAATACACCCCTTTCCTTCACAATAAAAGAACCAATTCACATATACTTCTAAGCTGAGTCTAGAATAGTTCTTTCTTTATATTTTCTTCATGTTTAGTCTCCAAATGAGGAGCTAAACTCTTCCATATTGGTTTTGCTACTTTGAAGCTTAATGAATTTGTAAGTTGTGAGTTATTTTCTTTAATCTTCTTCCTTGAATATTAATTATTTCCTATTCATATTTCATATTAATGTTTTGAGCATTACTTAAAGGATCATCTAGTTTTGTTTCATACATTAATTATTACTAGAAACAATCGATTAATACGCTTGTTATTAATTCGCTTCTTTCAACGGTAGTAAAACTTGGATTATTAATGCATGCGTCTCATGGTTAATAATCTAAGGGGAATTAATTATATTGATTAAAACAATAAACCGCTTGTGTTGAGGTTATCAATCTCAATCCTTTTCATCTTAAGTTTATTGCTACTATCGGGCTAATATACGACGCATGTTCTATATTGACTCGGTAGTAAGTTTTATTAATGAACGCGTCTCGTTATTAATAACTACCCTCGATGAACTGGCTAATATACGGCGCATGTTAATAACATTTCATTAAGTGGATAAAAGCAAAACCAAGTCTTCATCCCTATTAAAGTAAACCACATAAGTCGCTCATCTTAGTTCTTAAATAAATTTAAATTTATCAACAATCATAAAATCCCCCCTTTTTGTTACTAGTTATGATAGACTATAAGTCTAGAGAGAAGTGAGAGCTAGAGAGAGAAGTAGTATAATCGCTCTTTATTAATGAATTTGTCAACCCCTACAACTACCTCCAGAGGAAGTATTTATTGGAAAAATGCGGGCTGGGCTCCCAAGTCTTGGGCTTGAGAGGCCCATTTACAACTGGACCGCTATTGGGCTGAATACAAAGTAAATGGTAGAGTATACAAATGATTAAGTGCAAAATCCTGTTCTGGGAGTTCTTTATGGCCGACGAGGGTCTGGCCGATGAGTGCATGGCCGACGAAGACCCGACCGACGAGGTCACCCGGTTCTTCTGGCTTCCGGATCATATTCTGGGTTGACTTCGTTCCGGCCAATGAGGGTCATCTGGCCGATGAGGGTCCCACTAGGTGACAGTTGTGCCTTTTGTTCTCTTGAGTATGTGGGTCCTGGGGTCTAGACCCATATACTCCATCAGGAGTCCCCCACTCTCTAAGCTGAGATGTAGACGAAGTGAAGGAGAGTAGATTCCTGTTCTTTTTGGGCTTGGCCGTGGCGTGTTCCATGTTGTGGACGAGAGAGACCCTGGCTATGCGGATGGTCATGTTCTTTGCTTTCCAGGACGATGGGTGTCCTTGCTTGATGGGGGCGATGAAGGTCCGCTATCATGAGTGGCCGATATGTGTCTTTGGCATGGATGACAGTTGTATCTTGTTTGAGGACGATGAGAGCTCTTTGTTTTGTGTGTCGTTGATCACTTATAGTGCCTTTGGGCGAGGCGATGTGTAGTGGTTTGTGTGCCCAAGGTCTTGGGGACAATGATGGCGCTGAGCCGGTAGGCGCTGCATGTCCCCGGTTCTTGGGGTCGATGAGCGTGTTGCACTTTTGCCCTGGCCGGGG